GAAAATATGAAAAGTGGAATGTTTAAGTATGAGTTAATATATAAGTAAAAGAGATTATGGTGTAGAAATGCTAGTTGTAATGTTATGTTGCTAGTAATAAGTTGGGTGATGCATGTTCTATGTCTGGTTTAATGTGTTTGATTGCTTATTGTTTCCAAATATTAGAGTTGTTGTGGGTAGCAATCTCACTGAGTAATTTCTTCCCGGAATTACTTATCCCTCTTTTTCCCTTTTAGTTTGTGCAGGTATGTTGCTTGTTGGTCAAGTTAAGACATGAGACCTAGGGTTCAAAGTGATCAGGAATCGGGTGTCACATAAACAAAAGGGTGTTACTCGTTGTGTATTTTAATTGAATTGTAAATCTGTGTACTGTTTTATTTTGTAAATGATTAGAAAATAATTTTCCTGAGAAATAGATCTAAAAGGTAGCTAGGAGAAAGACAAAATAAAGAAAGATTGAGGAGAGAGGAGATGTCGAATCAGACGACAGATGTGAGCGGAGGTTAACTGAAATCAAACACACAAAATTAGTTCCAGCTATGTCTAGATATATAAACTTAGCCAAAACGTTAAAAAGTTCAAGTTACACTCAAGTATATTAGGCTGACTTTTTAAAATCTAACCTTAGACAGTTTTATTAATGCCGATGCTTTTCGAAAAATCAAATTAAAATGTTATTTTACTTGCAACTATTTCTTTTAAAATAAGCAGAAAAGCTGTCGTCGTACGAATTCTTTTTTATTATAACATCATTGTCGTACGAATTGATGTAACTAATTCCCAACATAGGTGGTTTAATTAGTTGGTACCACATTACGGATGATTGATTCCTTCCAACGACCCATCGAACTTCTACAGTCTATATACTAACTAAGTCAACCATTCTATAAAAACTTTGAACATTCCTTAACCACTAACAATTCGATTTATAACCTCTCCACACATTATTATATTATATTTAATTTGTTGTCGAACTATTGCATCTTTATAAATGGACATTACCTCGATCCACGTTTTGATCATATCTATAGATAATGTGTGTTAAAGAAAGAGCATAGTGTGTATTTTTAAGATTAAATTCCGTGGAAAAAAAAGAGTTTACATTTGGAGCCCTTCATGACTTTGAAATATTATATTCAGAATCCACATTTATGATTTCTTTCTGTCTTCATCACTAAAGTAGGGATGTTTTAGAATAACTGAAAAATATACGGGTTTTCCAAATCATTTCTATAAAATGTAGGGGCTATAAAAACAAGATCTTCCTCAATCCTCTATCATAGAACATGCACATATAAATAAGCCCATGAAAGTACATTTTTCGTTTCTTGGTGACCAAAGAATCAAGCATGGCTCAAGCTTCTTTTATTAGCCTTCTCCTCAGTTTTTCCATCATAATCCTTTCTAATGCAGCCGGTTAGTTTTTAATTATCTCAAAAATTTTATTTGATTGTTATGTAAGTGGATGAATTTAGACTGAATTTTAGTTTGAATATGGAGCTTGGTTTCAGACATAAACATAGACTGTGGATCATCAAGCTCGCAGGTTGATGCGGAAAACAGAACGTGGATCGGAGACACGGACTTCGTAACCACCGGTTTGACGTCCTCATTTAAACCAATGGTCAAAACCGCTGATTCTCTGACGACGCTCCGGTATTTTCCTACGGGGGAGACCAACTGTTACTCCAACATTCCGGTCGATAAAGGTGGGAAAGTGTTAGTTAGGACGAGATTCAACTATGGGAACTACGACGGAGAGGACAAGGCTCCCAAGTTCGATGTCGTGTATGATGGAAAACATCGAGATTCAGTCGTCACAACGACATTTATCAGCGGTACTCGATCGGAGGCGATATTTATTCCTGAAAATGGGAATACTAGTGTTTGCTTTTTCCGTACGTTCTTGAACGAAAACCCTTTTGTGTCTACCATTGAAGTAAGGAGGTTGGACGACTCCATGTACACCGATCTTGGCCCCAAGGAAGGTTTCATTCTCCAGCAACGCAACGCATATGGTAGGGTACAGGATTTAGTAAGGTAATAACCATATATATAAATGTGTATCATCAGATTTTATCTAGGCGATCAACAACTTTTTTAATATTCATATTTATAAATCATCTTAGGAAAATTTTCTTTTAAATCGGGAACCTGTTCGATTGTTCCTGTTATAGTTCTTGGTTTTGTACAATGAAACCGGAATTTCTTTGAAAACTTTAGGTAGATCCAAAGTAAAGAAGAAAAAATAAGCAATTCATTTGGTAAATAATTAAAAGAAATGATCGGATATCGTAACACAACCGGTTGACTTCATAAAATTTTATTGTCTAAAGTTTTTTTCTTGATTAAAAAAAAATATAGAAAGAAGGCAATTCTCAAAAATAACACATTTTGAAGTTTTGGTTTTGAAAACCAAAATTCAAAATATTAAGCATATGTGTGACAAAATATCGATGGTCTTGCTAATTTATAAACTTACATTAATTTACAGGTCCCCATTTGATCCTTATGATAGAATTTGGGCGCCAACACCACTTTCGACTGTAACTCTAACAAGTGCTGCCACTTCTATCAACACAACAGGTGCTGATAATCGACCACCGGAGATTGTTCTTCGGACCGCTTGGTCGCGGAAGGACATGGCTTTCTATGATATAAAGCTACCTTTTTCCGGAGTAACATTTTACATTGTCCTTTATTTCTCGGAACCACTAAGCCTTGGTTCCGAACAAAAGCGGTCTTTCTTCGTTAACTATGACAACAAGCAAGTTGGTGCAAGCCAAATCGTGCCACCTTTCGGGGCAGTGACGCAAGCGTCTTTGAGGGCGGTGGGGACGAGTAGCCTTCCCTATCTCACATTTAAAGCTACACCAGACTCGAATTTGAACCCACTCATCAACGCTCTCGAGCTCTATGTCATTAGCAATAGTGCTGGAAACGGGACGGGTTCAACCACCACCGGCAGTGGAGGTAGTCCTAGCACTGGCGGTGGCGGCAGCCCTACTACTGGCGGCGGTGGCGGGAGCCCTAGCACTGGCGGTGGCAGCGGCAGCCCTAAACCTGGTGGTGGCACCCCTAGCAGCTCAGGTGGAGGCAAATCCGGTACTTGTTATTTTTCGTAGTCTTATATCACCGGTGTGGGGCGAGTTAATTAGATTATCAATTTTTATGGTTGACCCAAAAAAAATGCTAAAATTGCTATTCGAAGAAAATAACGAAAAGGTATTAGTAAAAATGGGCGAAAATTTAACAAGTTATTTTATGCATTCATATAATGGAAATATAGAACCATTTGATAGATTAAATATCTGCATGACTCATGTAAATACCATGGTACAAATGATCAGAATTATCTAAGAAGTTCATTTGTAAAAGTTAAGAAGAACAATTTGATAGATGAAATATCCACTAAATCAATATGATTAGAATTGTGTGATAAATTAGTTAATTAGATAGTCACGTTAAAAAAATATTATATAGGGGCAAAACAAATGTCAAATAAATGAAAAGGGTAAGTCTGGTGGAAATTCACGCTTGTTCGCTGGACAATAAATTGAAATACCTTTGCTATTTTTGTTCAAACAATTAATGGTTTTGTCATGAGATCACTTTGTTCGAGTCTAATTTTGTTTATAATGTGTATAAAGATTCTTCAGGAAAGTCCGAAGGAGAGAAAGGCAGCAACTTAGGTTTACCACTTGGTCTTTCAATTCCGTCGTCGTTTATTGTTCTTGGAGTTGGTGGTTGGTACGGCTATAAATTTTTCAACAAAGCCAAACGCAACCCCGAATCAGAAAGTATACAACATATATCATCCTCTCTTTTTGTCTTCACTAATAAACTCATTTATATATATCGTTTATTATTTGAATTTCTGATATATTCATTTCTTTTAGTGGTTATAATTTATATTGAAATAAATCGACGTGCATGAAATTTTGTTGCAGGGCCACTCACCACCAGCACTACCGTTCATCATCATTATGGGACTGAACACAATATCATAGCAGACAAAATAGGAAAGGCAATACAGACTACTAAGAAATAAGCAATGACGACGATCGACTTCAATCATCACCCTCCAATCTTTGTTATTCTTTTTTCTTTCTATTTATTGGTTTTTTAGATGTAATTTACTATTTTGGTCTTTCCATCATATGTAATGTTTCATTGTTTTTTTTTTTATTTGTTGGTAATCATAGTCAAGAGACAAGAGTGGCATATGGGTTTTGACACTAACACAATACATATACAGGACTATGATCTTGCCTAAACATCAAGTAGACTTAAGGGGTTTGTTTGTACCGAAAGGTTTTGGTGACAAGAAAATTGACTTAATGGTACCTACGACAGGCTAAAATTAAACGAGGCAGGCCTAAATGGTTTGGGCTTAAACGAGTTATTGGCTCGTCCGACCCGGTGCCCGGGCTCTCTGTTTTAACATCAGTACATCATTAGCCGGAAGTATACGCAAAAGCGGGGGTGGAGCAGATCGGAATTGAATCACGATGCTCGCCATTTTGGGCTCATTCCCTTTAGTGGTTTCTTGCTGGAGAACCTTCTTGATACTATAAACATTAATACCATGGACAAAAAAATAAAAGAACTCCAAAACAAACATTATGTAAATTTGCTAAAAATAAAAGAATATATTGAGACATTTAAATTCCACAACAGGAACTTCAAAATAAATGGTAACTTTTGTCGGTTTAGTTTTTGCCATTCAACACCAGCTCTTAAAAGATGTGAATAGCTTCTTCTTTTTATCGTTTAGGAAATTTCTGTTAAACAATAGAAAATTTAACTGATTCAGCTTTTTATCCTCTATATATTAATTGAAAAGACACTAAGTGAAAAAATCTTATCTTCTATATATTAATTGAAAAGACACTAAGTGAAAAAAATCTTATGTGTCATTCAAAGAGGATTTTAAGGAACATATCAATTAAATTAACCAATCAAAAAATTCCAATTAATCATATATACCATGTTGGAAATCTCTAAATATTTATATTGATTTTTAATATCAACAAATAAATACACATGCTGTTAATTTAAATCCAACTAAAATATAACATTTTAGTATTTTAGCATAATGTTTTACTGATGAATCATATACCGAAGTCAATTACTTTATAAAAAATTGTATTTCTGTCTATTTTAATACCATATGTGATTATCATATGATTATTTTTTTATTTTTTAATTGTATTCATATTACCCAAATTAAAATTGTGCTTTTGTTATAAACGTACAACTTACAAATCAAATTGAAAATCATCATTTTCACTT